CGAGAAATATAGAAAAGTTTATTAAAATATTTATTAAAATTTATTAAAAGAATAGATTAATAGAGATATATTACTACGTTGGTATATCTTATCCCTATTGCTATTCCGATACACAAAATTATTTATTACTATTAAAAATTAAAACTATTACAAAAATTTTTTATTATTATTAAAGACTATTCGAAACTGTTTTTATTATTAAGATTATTTGATAAATTATTTATTATATAAAAAAAAAGTAATTAAGAATTATTTAAATCGTTACAAAATTATTTGTTATTATTAAAATTATTAAGAAATACGTTATTAAGATAAAAAAAATTATATGGTTTTAAAAGTTATTCGCGAGAGAGGAATCTCTCTTTTTTTTTTTTTTCTTTCTTCACAACCGCAGCTGTTTTATATTTTCTCCTCTTGTTTACCTTCATCCTCTGTCATCCATAAACACGTTCTTGTACCGGGATGAATAATCCATTATCTGGGATGATGTACGACACACGAGATAATTCATCCAAATAGTGACACATCTCATCCCATATAATCCCCGTGATTTCGGTTAGATCCGTGCCAATATGATATATTCACTACGCATTTGCTTACATTAATAAGATGAATCAAAATATAAATCAATATACAATAAGATAGATATTTATCTGCAAAGAAAGTTATAAATCAACTAACAATTTCAAGAAATTCTGTCATTATTTCTGCTGGTCATATTTTTTGCAATTTCATTAGCTAATAAATTTTTTGACTGGAAATAGATTAATAAAATTTTACCCGGTGCATAAAATTTGCTTCCAAACTAAAAAAATGGAAAAGAATTCTGTAATAAATTTTAGTATCAATATATCTCAGAACGTGAATTGATTCGCCACAGAAAAATCAAAAAGTTATTACTGCATTACGTAATGAGCAAATTATGAGTAATAACAAAATAACTTTACTATTAATAATAATGATATCATTAATTAATAATCTTGAAAAAATAACAATTTCGATACCAATCATAATTAATAATATAGATTATTTTTTAGATAAATTATCATATAAAGTTGAGATATTGAAATAGTTGTTTATTAATTTGTATATAGATATAGTTATAGTACAGCGCATTATGGAGTTTCACACATGGTATGAATTCTATCATTTATCACATTGATCAAACAAATATTAAATCATAACAATTTATCGAAAGAAAAATCATATCATATTAGATAATTATAATGAATAACGAATATTTTTAATTATTTTTAATTTGATATAATAATTTAAAATTGCAAAAATAATAAAAATAATAAAAATAATAAAAATAGAAAAAAATAATAATAATAATAATTATAATAAAAATAATAATTATAATAGATACAGTAATTTAAACAAAAAAAAAAAAGCAAACACGGCAATTGCAACAAATAATAACAATTTTGACCAATGAATGAAAAATATACATCACCATCAATGCAAGTAATAATTATAATAATAATATTACAAAAAGTAGCAATAATAATTTTATACTATCATATGATGAATCTATATAATACATACAGTTTAGGATGTATGATTATTGATAATTTTGAATAGATGATGAAATTATTTTAAATAATAAATAATTCAGATATCGGAAAAAGTTGTTAGCACTGTTATTTCTAAGTTACCATAATATAAAATGTATTATGTATGTATCTGAATTGAAATATATTTTATCAATAAAATAAAAATTATTATTATTTATTTTTTAAACTGTTTATCATATATTATTACTTACTCCAATATTGTCATCCTCTGGACTAATATAGGCACAGTACATAACAAATTGGACAAATAGGAACTCTTTCTCTATCATCAGTAAGTGGTAAATTATTGAAAGAATGCTGTTTAGTTTTGAATGTTAAACATAAAAAAAATATTTTGCCAATGCTGACATTTGCGGGGTAAGAATTCTTTTTAATAGAATCTGGATTGTAAAGAAACGCCTTATGTTTGGTAGTTCAATGTACTATTTGTATGTTAGCTTGGTATTTTATGTGTATTGTTGTTTTGCTTTGTAAATGTTATTTTAGTTTGTGCTATTCGTAATTGTAGAGATGCAAGAATACAAAAATTAAAGAATAAATTTATCCCAAACGTATTTAGAATTTTTTTTAAAAAAATCACACAATATTAGATATTATAATAATACTGTCAATTATAAAATTAATAATAATTTGTACATTTAAATTTTAGCCTAATTATTTATAGTATAATTTTGTTGACTTAGTAATCATGGAAAATTATGTTTAGAAAAGTAGTAAATTAGAAAAAACTTATTAATATTTTTTAGTAATTGTGTAATTGCCTTACGCAATTGAATAATATACATTTAAATAATCTAATAATCCCTAAATTACAGAATGCATATGAAATAAATTAAAAAATTAAAAAATAAAAATCAAATACATACTTCTATATTGTCAATCAATTTTAGAGTTTTTACTCATTATTTATAGTTAATATAATAATAGATACAGTAGATAATAAGAAAGTTAACCTCATGAAATTCTCTCATAAAAATTAGAGCATCAAGTAATCATTAATAAATCATCAAAGCTTTCCATTTTACTAAATCAATGGTGCTTTTTTGGGTAAGACTTAATCAATACTGAACTGATTTTAATTTTTATACTGTTCAAGAATTTTAGTCCGAATGCTTCTATGAAACAAAGATTTGACTTGGATTGAGTAGCTAGTCTTCTTTTAAATTGATCAAAAAACGTTATAAAAAAATTCGTTTTCACTTTAAAAATGATTAACAACTTCTAACAGCAACGCGACTACAAATGCAACAATTACAAATGCATCAAAAAGTAACTAAGAAATAACAACTAATGATTCATTATCTTTAGATCAATTCAAGGAACTTGTAAATTAATTTCCCAACAAGTAAAAGGTACATTATTATATTTAATTACTTTCAAATATCTACAATTTATTAATTACTTACGACATTACATAAATTTAATATTTCAAATAGAAAAAAGAATTTACATTTATCTATGTAGAGAAGTTGATGAATTTATATTTATATAAAAATTCTCAATAAGAAAACTTCTAAGAGTATGTAATTTAATAAAATTTAGAATTTATTATTATTTATTCAATTTATTCAATTAATTAAAAGAATTAATTAATTTAATTAAAACAATTAATAATTGATTGAATTTAAATTTAATTTAATTATTAACAATAGTTTAATTATTTATTTTTTCAAAAAAAAATCAAAATCAATTGTTTCTTTATTTATAAAAATAAATAATTCTGAAAATGGTGCACGATTTTTTTTTTATTGTCGCAATTTTTTTTTCATTACGCTTTCAAAAAAATATTCTGAAACCAGTTTTTTTCCCGTCATTTTAGCTAACGATTTAACTGATCTGGCTTCGTAGAGGTATTTCTTTCTATTTAGTCCACTTCATCCTTATTAGGTTTAGGATTAGGATTAAGGATTATGATTAGAATAAAATGAAAGGTCGATTGGGGAACATAATTTACCAATGGATCTTTATGAAGTTGTTTTTTGGATCTTCGGGTCAAGAGTTATTAGATAATTTAATTTTTTTTCGTCTATTAACTAGTTAAAATAAAATATAAATAGAAAATATACAAATCCATACGTTCATCTGGTTTATTATTGAAACAATGATTAAAATTGAAAATTGATAAATAAATTATGAAATGAAAAAACTAAATGCAAATACTTCTTTTTTCGTCAATTATTAGCACCTTTATAATGAATTTATTATTTTAATTATCTTTTTACCTTTTTCCGCCAATATAGTGCTTCAAAATGAAATTCCAAATTTTTCTGATGATCAACAAGATCGTAAAGTCGTGAACTTAATTTTAAATGCAATTAACTTAAGTTTCATTTTTATGTTCTATTATTATTTAAGTAATATTCTAATATTTTTATTTCACTATAAAGTAGACTTTTAACTTTGGTCCATCATTCTTCTTTTTTTTTTTTATTTGAAATAAACTATGTGCAAAATTTCCATTTCTTCCGAAGATAGTCTTTCCAGTCAAGATGAAAATTCATCTCGAAAATAAAGAAAAACAAGGGAAACAGCAAGCTTATGTCACATATAAAGTTTCAAAATAACAACAAATAATAATGGAAAAAAAAAAAATTGATACCATTGTGATTCAAGTTTGATACAATCTTCCACTAAAGGTGGAACAAAAATGAACATTATATCGGATCAAGATTAATTATACAGTTGTTAAATAAATTGTAAATATATATTTTATATTCATTAGGATTGCTTATATTATAAATTTATAGGCAATAATGTATATTGATAAATGAGCATTTTTTGTCTACATAGCAAAATAATGAACATTAATTTTTGTACTTTTTTTTTTACATGGCCCAAAAGTAAAATAATGATTTTGAATATCGTACATTAAAATAAAAAAAAATATACGCTGTCCTTTGAACTAACGCTGCGACTACTTTTCCTTTTCACTACTTAATTATTGTGATCATATCTGATACTTCACATTATCTCTGATCTATTCCTTGATATATATCAGATCATATATAACTTTCATAAATACGATGAAATATTATCTAGCATGATTGAATTTTTTAGATAGACCTAGATAGACCAGAGATCAAATATCAACTTGTTTATTTATACATAGAATATAAACAAAAACAAAATTTACTTTTTTTTTGAAAATTAAAATTATCAATATTAAAAAAAAAATAAGTCAATAATACAAATTTTAACATTACAATTTTTCTACCCTAAAGTCTAAATAAAGGAAATCAAATATTAACATATTTTATTCCAACCCCTCCACGAATGTGCATGATCTCAATATTAATAAAGTAAATAATAATATATTTTATCAATGTATTACTTCTTGAAAGCCACTTTTTGAACTTCCTTTTGTCAAATTATTTTTTTTTATTATTTTTTTCACTATTTTTTTTCTTCTTCTTTGGCATCAATTTAATGCGATGTTGATATGTCTGAAGTAAAATTCTTTTCAGTAGCCAGTGTCTGAAGTTCTCGAAATCCATCAAAATAATCTTGATTCTGTGTATTGTCATCTTCCAAAGTTCCAGGTCGACAGCTATTTATTGCTTGAAATAATCTGCCAATGATATTTAATAACAAGCTAAGACATGAGGAAGCGAGTGCAAGAAGAGGAATTATATCATATGTAACCACACTATAATGGTATAATAACTAAAAGTATTGAAAATTTTTATAATTAGAAAGCAAAAACAAAACAATAATTTCTTATATAAATAAAAAATAATTTGAAGAGTGACCTGAATGATCAACTGCGGTATATCTTCAACAAAAATGGTTAAGCAAGAAGCCCAAAAGATTCGATTTTTTCCTTTAGTTGAAATTGGAGCTTGGAAAAATTTAAATCCGGCAAAATTTGAATAGAGAATACTTAATGTTTCAATGTCAGCACTCGATATAACTGTAAATACTGATGCCACCTTTTCATGTCGAGTGAACCAATCCAAGAAAGCCTTGGATTTGTTTTCATCACTGATAATATAAAATGCCCAAATAGTGTTGATACCGATTGGAACCGTCAAGAATATAATACTATTTATATATATATATAAGTTTTTAATAAATAAATGACCAAGTAAATATGTATGTAAATATAAATATGCAAATATATATTAATTGACAAATTTACCTTGGAATGTATAATACTTCAATAACTTTACCATTTTTACTGACGAAAAGGACATCCATTACAAAATCAAAAATAATTAATCCAAATTGTAAAATCGCTATGTTACGACCCTTTAAGAGAATTTAATTATGTAAATACCTACAAGTTTCCATTTTCTATAATATTAAATATACTAAGCAAATATGTAATTTTTTTACCTTGCATTCTCTTTTTTGTGCTATTAAAAAAAGAGCCACTAAAATTGCAAACGCTAATATAATGCCCAAAAATCTCCACTTGTATTCACCCCATAAGTTGGCTAATGAATAAGAAACATTTTAAAGAGTGATCAGTAACGATACCATATTAAATAAGTTATAAATACAAAATACTCACGTTTTGGTTGAAATCCAAAATCTTCATCTAAATATTTTGTGGTAGGGTTTAAGCTAATGGAAGTTATGCTTTTATATTTGATCATTTCATTTAAATCATCTATAATAGATGTTACACTTCTTTCTTCTTTGGATGATTCGATGTTAAGTGAAATAAGTATTTGATGACTAGGTTTAACAGTGGTATCAACTTGGGTTTTCCTATTTGAACTTAGTCGCTTAATATTAACAGGAATAATTTTAGATAACTCAAGATGCAGATCTGTAAAGAATTGATCTTTCTCAGCTGAATTAAGATTTTCGTAGAGTTCAGTGCCTTCTGTATTCAAGCGCAAAACTCCAGATACTTTGTCTATGCAGAAATTTTCAATATATTTTGAGTGATTTTATATTTAACATACACAATAACAATCGAACTGAAATTTACCTGCTAAAGTTTCTTCACATTGATCTAAAAGCCGGTAGGATATAAAGGGAGAAAGGTATTTAGTAAGGTATTTAATATTTAAATTAATAAAATATAATAAAATATCATTTATATACTTGTATTGAATTTCCAAATATTATATATCCCCATTAAAGATTCTTTATATGTTTTGCTTCTTACAAAATTACTGTCAACTTTAACATAAAATTTGCTACTGGGGTTACTAAATGTACTGTTGATAACTTTTATAGTTACAGTTAATCCATTATCAGAAATGGAACAAAAATCGGGACTTTTGATACCATTAACAAATTGTCGAATAATTTTGTTACCACTATTATCAATTTGATAAATCGCAATATTTCCATCAGAAAGTTCCACTGGTTCATAATATGTAATTGTAATATTTTTTGTTGAAGTTGAAATATTGTCATTTATTGAGGGATTTGTTGACTTTACTTGAAAATTTGAATAACCATTATCTTTATCTATGAATTTGGGAATATCAGTGGTCAAAAAACTCCACGTATTAAGGTTTTCTATTTGTGATACTAACATAGTATTATTAGGCAAAATTATCAAAATTCCTTGCAAATTTAAAACTGATGGTTCTGGAAAATCCCATTTTTTAAAAAACATTTCGATTTCGTTTAAATAGTATCCATAAACATTGATACGACTGTTCTCATTTACCAAATAACTATAGTATACATAACCACCGTAAGGAATATTTTCTATTGACCATTCTGTAGTAGCATTTTGGAGTAAGGTTATGTTTATCGCTCTTTGCAAAATTATGCGGTCATGTGAAAATTTGATAATATAATTGATAGGTATTCGAATACCAAATAA